GTGCCAACTCGGCATCGAATTATGATGATGCCTTCTTGGGTAGACATCGCTTTTTCGTCCCCCAGGAAACGGTGGGGGATGTCCATCATCCACCTCTCGACCACTAATGCCCATTTCCGGTGGATGGAGGCTGAACGGGCCAAAAACTTTTCCCTTTTTTTTTTTTTAAATTATTTTGTTTCTAAAATAAAACTTTAATTTTTTAATTTTAGTAATTTTTTTAAAATTTTTTTTTTTATTTTTAATTTTGTTGTTTCCCCCCCAAACTTCCCCCGCCTGGGGTGTCCCTACGGGACATGAGGTTATACTGACGTTCGCCTGCGAAACCCATTCCCTTACTTTCGAGTTTTACAAATTTTGGCGCTTTTGCATACTTTTTCCTTTTTCCTTAGAATTTCTAAACTTCTTTCTAAAGTTATAAAATTAATTTAGAGTTAACATTTGTAAGGTTTCTAAACTGTTTTGTCTCTTCCTAGACGTCAAAACGTTACAAATTTAAAATTAAACTTGCAAAAATATGACTTGTTTTCAGGCAAGAATCGACGAATATATTTTTTCTCGCTTTCTTCTAGATAGTTTTCCACTTAAAATCGAGCTAAAATTTACTAAAAAAGTATTGAAATACTTGCCGATGCGTGAGAGCCGATTAGATCAGCCATCCGGAATTGTAGAAGAAAATTACTCCCCCTGATAATGCAGAATAACCCGAAATTTTGAATTGGGTTTTTTAATTCACGTTTTTTAATATTAATATTACATGCTTTGACTCTCTAACCAATAATAGTTTCTATTTTTATATGACTTAATTCTTTTGTATATTTTATTTATTTTTTCGCTTTTCTTTTATTTTGTATTTTTCTAAACCTTTTATAATCGCAATTTCCAGAACCGGAATTTTCTAAACCCTCGAAACCCGAAAAACTCTTTAGAGGGCATTTCCGAGGCGCAACTATTTCCTCGTTTCCGGCGAACGGAAAGAATGGAATGGGGGAGTGAAAAGGAGGGCCGAGGACGTCGGGGGGAGGGCCCTGTCAAGAGGAGCTGCTCTTTTTGTGGGTGGGGAGAAGGAGAAGGAGCGGGACTAGACCCTGGTCGTGATGATGTCTGGGCTATAGGCCCGTGTGGGCAGAGATCGGCTCTGTTTCTCGGCGCTCTCTCACTTTCCACTATCTCGCCCTCCCCTGTCCCTCTCATAAGTTGTGGCCTGATGCTATCAATACTATCCTTGGTTCGGGTCAGAAATGCTTTTGGGCGGAACTTGGATAGATTTTAATAACTTTTTAATATGATTTTTACCTAGATTTTTCTCAGCTTTTTCTGCTGTACCAATTCATCAAAAGCTTTTATTCTTAGCGATTTATAAACGTTGGCATTTTCTAAATTTTTAAGGCAGAAAAATCAACATTTTCTGAAGATTTTTGGCGATCAAATTATTTTTGACCGCAACAAAATCAAAAAGCTACCATGGGTACTTTTGCATTATCGGGGGGGAGGGGTGGTCGTAAATTGGCTAATAACGTAATAATAAGAGTTTTGATAGATTTAGTATCGAAAAACTTTCTAAAAAACTTCAAAATTCGAAATTTTCGTCGAAAATCGGCCATTTTTGGTCGAAAAATCGATATTTTTGTATTTTTTATTAAAAATTTGTACAGTTTTTAGGGTTTGGACTAAAAAAAACTGTTTAGAAAAACTTTCTCTATTTATATTGAAAGATTTGGATAATAAGAAGAGAAAAAACTTGGTTTTCCCTCGATAACCCCCTCCCCCCGTCAATACAAAAGTACCTCGAATTGTATAAAAATTGTAGCTATCATTTCCCGAGTCAGAGTATTTTTTAAAACGTTTTCGGACCTTCGATAAAATACCGATCTTTCGCTGGTCCGTTCCGTTTTACCATCTTCTTATCTATCATTTCGGCAACCCCCGCTTTTTCCGCATTTTTCATATCTTATAGCGCGGATCTTTGTGGGTTGGGTCAGGAAATGCAAGAATCTCTCTCTGCACCCCCGAATGCACGTTTTCTCAGCATTCCCATGTTTCTTCCTGCCTCCCCCGCTGGCTGCAACTGACAGTTTTTTGGCCTGTCAGAGCAAATAGTCCTTTTCTGCGCACGGGGCGAACAATCAGGGGTGGCTTGCAGAGAGCTTTTGGGATTTATTGTCCTAAAGAAACCCTGCTAGATTGCCTGGTTTCCCTAAGAATCTCTGCTAGCGCCCGTTCTATATTTCAAACGCTGAGCTTTTCCCAAGTGATCTCTGCTCGATTGTCCAGTTTTCCCCCAAGGACCTCTGCTAGCTTCCCGTTTCCAGATTTTGGAAATTTAATTCTTCTTTTACAGATGCATTTTTTTTGTTTGTTCTTTTTCATCAAAGAATCTCGGCAAGCTGACCGCTTCCAGATTTTTAAATTAGCTTGATGCTCTCCCCAAATGATCTATGCTCGATTGCCTCCAGCTTTCCCAAAGAATCTCGGCTATCTCGCGACCAATATTGGCCAATTTTTGGTAAATTCTTGAAAAATCTATGCTAGCTTGCCTGGCAAAATAAATTGGCGATGTAGTTCTAGAAATTACTGCCATTTTTCATACATGTTCTCAATTCTCAAAGTACCTCTGCTAGTTTGCCACAAGCTTTATGAATTTTCCTCAAAAATTTCTAGCTAGCAGCCCGGCCGCAGCGGGATAAATTCCCAAAGCGTTTTTGCTCGTGCATCACTAAAATTTCCTAAATGATCTCTGCCAGATTGCTACGCGCTTAAATTCGGACCTATACGACTCTGAAACTAAATATTTCCGAAATCATCTCTGTCAGTTTTCCTCAAGCTTAAAACGCCTAGAAAGCTCTAGAAGTTCGAGATTCTCCGAAATGATCTCTGCCAGTCCCCCTCCCCCTCACTTCCCTGTTCTAAACGGGGAAGTAGAATTCTGGTGGCCCTCATTTCTCCATTTCCAATCCCCCGCAGCTGCCCCGCGATACCTAATTATTTAGTGTGAATGTGGTATGTATGTGTTGCCTACCTTCCCCATCCGAGAGATCTCTGTACTCTCATTCTCTCGCTCTCTCTCGCCTTGTCTCTGTCTCTATACTAGCTCCTCTCTCTCGCCCATTCCACGGCCAAGTGCACGTATTGATTTGCTTGCCGTCCTCTTTCTTTCTTTCTCTTTCTCTCTCCACCCACCCATCGGCTGCCCTGTTTTCCCAGGGTTTTGCGTAATAATTTCTGGGGATTAGGCTAGAACTTTTTAGTTTTCGATTGATATGTTTTAACTTCGATTTGGAACGGTTTGAGGCTTTTCTTTAGAGCTTTATTACCAGAAACACGATTCTGTTTCCGTTTTATAATGTTTTAACTGCGATTTAGAAGCGTTTGAGGCTCTTATTGATAACTTTTTCTGGTAGATTATGTGTTTCATCAGCTTTTTGAGTATTTCTTGGTTAAAACCAGATTTAAAACTGAGTTTTAGCTTCTAAAGTTTAATTTGCTATTTAGAATTGTTTGAAATTGTTATCTAGAGCTTTCTTACCGAAAATTTCTTTGGATAAATCGTTTCGTTGCGTTTCAAGCTTTTTTAGAAGTCCTATCAGAGGTAGATTCCGCTTTTCACCTCCTTTTTTGAGTATTGCTTGGTTACAAGCAAATTTGCAACTTCGTATTTGATTTGTAAAGTTTTATCTTCGGTTTAGAACAGTTTGAAGCTGTTTTTGGAGCCTTTTGGGGTGAATTGAGCTCTTTACTCCCTTTTTCAGTGTTGGTTGGCAAGAAACATTTAGTTTTTCAGTTCGATTTTTTTTTGGTTTTGGATTTATAAAGTTTTATCGTCGATTCAGAACCGTTTTAAGCTGTTTATTTTTGAGATTTATGACTGAAAAGCTCGTTCCGTTTCCGTGTCAGGCCTGAATTTACAGTTTCTCACAGGTAGATTCCACTTTTCACCCCTTTTTGATTATTAGTGGTAAAAACGGGAATACTTTTGGATTTTTAGCTCAGAAACTTTGGAATTTAGCTAGATCCTCGTTTAAAAGCCTGCGCTTTTTATTTTTAGCAAAATACCTATAACCTTCCAAATTTTGCGCCGAATATCACCTGGATTTTGCCAGCGCTCTTCAGTATTTCCCGGAATCTTGACGAGATAAAAATCATTCCGATCCGATCCGATTGACGGCCTCTAGAGGGGGGGGGGGGGGTTTGGGACACCCTGTATTCTTTACCTCCCTACCAATCTTTTGCATTTTATAGTGCGTTTTATCATAGTCTTAGAAGTTTTTGGTTATTTAAAGAAATCCTAAAAACCTGTAAAAAAGCAAAATAACAAATTTCTGATCATTTTCAGACATTTTTGACCCAAACCAAGATATTTTGCGAACTTTCTGTACTGAAAGATATGCCCCCCTCCCCCGCTAACAACCCAGTACCGTCCGGAATTCAAACTACATTAGCAGCCAGTGAATAGACTTTAGCTGGTGGTTGACCGTCGTACTAAAACTTAGTACACTTCTGGGAATTCTGTCCGCCTATTCTCTCTCTCTCTCTCTCTCTCTCTCTCTCTCTCTCTCTCTCTCTCTCCCACTCTATCGATCTCGATCTCCCTCTCTCTCGTCTGTCTTTTAACCCCGATCAAAAAAAGCCCTTTTCGTATCGGTCCCAGCCAAAACATCCTCCCCGCCAATACGTCAAGCACCTTGTCGGCCCGCCCATTCTTCGGAAGTTTTTTGGTATTATTCTGATCTTCAGAATGTATTTCCACAACTAATCAATGCTAGTTTGCTTCTCTCTATCTCGATCTAGCTCTGCTCTCTCTCTCCCTCTCCCTCGCTCTCTCTCTCTCTCCCTCTCTCTCTTGTGTTTTCCGTGGCACCAAATTCCAATTCCGCGTACCCCATCCGGTCCATCAAGTACACATTCATCAGGAAATTTCCAGGGCAGATCTCACGGCGTCCCGCGGCGCGGCCCTTCTACAGTACCCCTCCTATGCCTCCGCAATCTCTCCATCGCCAATAATGTCTGAAAAATTGCCGCCAGGTGAGAGTTGTTTTTAGGGATTTGAAGGTACTACACTGTTATAGGGGGAGGCGGAATTTGACAATCCGTCATACGGTCTAAAAATCATCTTCTAAGTGCTACAATTAGAGTGAGACAACCATTCAATAAATTGTCATTTGAAACATTTTCATAATGTTAATATTTTTAAAGATTTTGCAGGTACACTATGCGCAGTGTGCGAAGACGTGGCAACGGGTAACCACTATAATGTGGCGTCGTGCAACGGGTGCAAAACGTTCTTCCGCCGCGCCATTGTGGTGGGTAATTTTGCGAAATATTCGAAGCCTATTGTAGTTAAAAAAATTTGATATTTTAGAACAAGCGCAACTTTGTTTGTATGGGTGATGGCAATTGTGCGGTTAATAAAGGTACGGAGTTTTGTCGTATTTATTTTTTGGCAATTAGATGTTTTACAGAAATTTACATTTTAACTGAAAATTGTTTTTTCAAATAATTTTTGAATTTGTGTACTCCAATTTTAATTAAAGAGGGTGCTTTTGCGTTATCGGGGGGGAGGGGCTTTTCCTGAGGAACCAATCTTTTAAGCTAAATAGAGGACGTGTTTCAAAACTGATTCTGAATTTGATGAACGAAACGAGTAAGCGTAAGAACTTTACAAATTTTGATTACAAATAGGAAAATTATCGATTTTTTGGACCAAAAATTTTAAAGGTTTTCTAAATAGTTTTTCCGGTGTAAATATCCCTAAATTTTACTAAAAAAACTATTAAAACACTTGTTATTACGCTATTAGGCATTTCTGGGATTATAAAAAATTCTTCCCCCCATGCAAGAGAACCTAAAAATATGTCGCGAAAAAGAGTGTCGGTAGCACTCCGAAACCCGCCTTTCTCCAGGTGTCAGATGCGCGTGTCGGCATTGTCGGTTGAAAAAGTGTCTTCTGGCTGGCATGGACACCAATGGTGAGAAACATTTAAAACATCAGTATTTGTCTATTCATTCAGCGATTCAAAATGACCGCGACCGCATCGGGTACACGAAACGGACACGGAAGATCGACAAGATCATCAAGAAAGAGTTGAGGTCAGTTGGTTTCTAGTTTCTAGTTTTAATTTACCATTTTAGCCCGGACCTTGACTGCGAGGCTTCGACATCAGATCAAAATGAGCACTCGCACAGCCCCGGGCAAACCGAGCACAACGCGGTGAGGGATTTGTAATGTGTAGTTGGAGATCTTAGGCGGTTTGGTACTGGTGCGTTAGCGGGGGATATACAGGGTGTCCCAAAAAAACCCCCTACCTAGCGGTCCGCAGTCGATTCCGATTTTTACGATTTAGGTATCTATCGAAAGCTCTCGAAAAGGCGAGAAAACAAGGAGGGTTGAATTTCTTAATTAAGCCTTTTTATTTGCTAATTTTATGTCCAAAAACCATGAAAACTGCTGATTTATGCGAGATCTGCATGCTAATTGCGAAATTCCTGATAAAAAATTCCCGGCTTTTTAGGAAAACCTGAAATATCGATAGAATCGGATTAAATCTTAGAAAACGAAACCCGCTTGTTTTCTCGCCTTTCCGAGAGCTTTCGATTGGTATAAAAATCATTCCGATCCGATCCGATTGACGGCCTTTAGGGGGGTTTGGGACACCTTGTAGAATTTTCCAAATAAAAAAAATCTTGTTTGACAAAAACTACAAATGGTACTTTCGAATTATCAGGGGGGCGATCTTTTTAAAAGTCCAGAAATTTCTCATAACGTAATAGCAATTATTTAATATCGTTTTTAGTAAAATTTAGCTAAATTGCAAGTGGAAAACTATCCAAAAACTTTAAGAAACGTTTAAAATTCGAAATTTTTGTCGAAAATTTATATTTTCGTTTTGAAGTTTTGTTTTTGCGTTCAAGAATGGTATAAAGCAGTTTAGAACACTTTTCGTATTTATTTTAGAAAATGTTGATACTAAAATCAAATTGGATGACCCGAAAAACACCTCCCCCTGCTAACGATCCAGAACCCAACTTTATCCATTTTGGGAGCTAGTTAATAAAATGAAGCTATGAAAACAAGCTTTTAGAATACGTTGGACCCGTTGATGGAGCGGCTGACGGCGCTGGAGAACAACTTCACGCTGCTGCTCTCCCGTGGCCACATCGAGCCCTACAAGACATTGGACGAGGCCCTGGCCGCTGCTTCGCGATTTCATCAGCCCATTGATGTTAAGGTGAGCCTTTGCATTATCGGGGGGGCAGAATCGCTTAATAACTATGTAATACGTATTTTAATTGATTACCTATCATTATCTCGAAAATCAACATCTCGAAAATCAACATCTCGAAAATAAACATCTCGAAAGTTCATTATCTCGAAAGTTAATTATCTCGAAAGTTCATTATCTCGAAAGTTAATTATCTCGAAAGTTCGTTATCTCGAAAGTTAATTATCTCGAAAGTTCGTTATCTCTAAAGTTAATTATCTCGAAATTTCATAACCTTGAAACCCGGTCCTTACCATTCTACTCCACTTTTTGTTATCAACCCGATATTGATGTCACAAATAAAATAAAAAGCATTTATTCCGATATATCATTTAATCAAAGGTCTGGGCAATTAACTTGACGAAGTTAATGGTTTCATAAGCATCATAGCTCTCGCAGAGGGCTTGTTGCGCCTGGTAGTCGGGACGCAGCTCTTTAGCCTTGTATCCTTGTTGCTGCATTTCCAGAATTCGACTGTTCGAGATATTTAACTGTCGAGATAATGAACTTTCGAGATAATTAACTTTCGAGATAATGAACTTTCGAGATATTTGACTTTCGAGATAATGAACTTTCGAGATAATGAACTTTCGAGATAATTAACTTTCGAGATAATGAACTTTCGAGATGTTTATTTTCGAGATGTTGATTTTCGAGATGTTGATTTTCGAGATAATGACAGAACCCCATTTTAATTGTGTTTTTAGTCAAATTTCGCCATATATACAATGAGGAAAACTATGAAAAACTTTGAAATTTGTTCGAAATCGGTCATTTTTGATCGAAAAATCGGTTAGACTTCAGATACCCCCCCACCAGCTGGCACCCAACTTTTTTATCTCGGCTCCCTGTTCATCTACAGATGTGTAAAGTATACCAAAATGCTCGTCTTGCTCTGGAGAGTATTTTGGTCTACTTTACACACCTGTAGATGAACAGGGAGCGGAGATACGGTAGGCGGGGTCGGCTGGGGGGTTATCAGGAGTTTAGCCGAAAAACCTATATAGTTTAATAAAGAGTTGTAAGATTTTTGCGCTCAGGAATAGTAAAAAACAATTTCGAATCATTGCCTCTATTTATGTTAGAAAAATTAGACACCAAAGAAAAAAAAGTTGCCTCCCCGAATAATACGAAAGCACTAGAGCATCGGAAGGTGCAGGCTGACGAGGATATTTCAGGAATTCGATCGAGTTTAGAAATTCCCCATTGTTTATTTATTTATAAGCAAAACTTCATGAATTAATAAATAAAATAAAAATTGTACAGGTGACGGACCCGATCGTGACCCCAGAATCCGGCGACGACGAACAGAAGAAGATGCCCTTTTGGCGATCGCGGATTATTGCCCTTTACGTGGATTGGGTGAAGACGTTCTCCACATTTCGCGGGTTGCCCCACTCTGATAAGGTGTGTTTTAGAACTTTCTGAATATCACTTCTGCTTACAAGAGTACGGTATAATCCTTTCAGATAGCCCTAATAACAAACCATGCCTCCTCGTATATGATCATGTGCGAGGCGTTTCGCACCCCTGATCATACGGATGAGCAGGAAGTGACGAATCGGATATTGCGCGAGACGGCGCTAGGGTATGTTTTTGGAATTACGTAAAGAATGAGAGGTTTTCCTGTTTTTAATTAGGCTAAAAATCGTTACTGACTGCTACTTGGCCAAACCGGTCCTAAACGCAAAAATATAGATTTTCTGACCAAAATTTCGCCTTCATTAAAATTTTCGGAAGTTTTTAGGCGGTTTTATATTTGAACTATCGTTAAACTTTACTAAAAACTATGAACCGTCCTTCACATTGATAGGGGCTTACTTCTACCCCCCCGATAATGCGACAGCATCACCAATTTATACAGGAAAGAAAAGAAATCAAAACGAAAAATTTTTAGAAACCCAATGGCGACGATAGAGTTGACGCAAAACGGCTCCGAGATGATACGATTGCCGACAGAATATGGGAGTCTTCCCGCCGACTATGGTGGATGGCTGCCGGCTGACTACGGTGCGTCAAGGGAAAGCGGAATTAGCGAATCCTCGTTCTCGCCTGCTGCATTTTTTTAGTAAATTAAAGCAAAAGGCCTGATTTCAGCCTCCTGCCTTTTCTATTACGTACGATTTAGGCCGTCCCTCAACAGGCACCGAGGGTCGATCGACGATGCACGCCTTCTTCGACCCGTTGCTGCTCGTCGAACGGCAAAAAGCCGGCGAAGAAGAGTGGCCAAAAGAGACAAAAATGGGCGAGGCACCCAACAGCAATTATCCCATTGCTGGAAGGTATGTGCCCCGAGGCAAGGCGTTTCTGCTGGCTTGCCTAGCGGGATTCTCATCCCGAGTTAGCGATTTTGTTGGCCGGCTTTTTTAATTTCTGAACATTCATACCTGATTTTCCCAAAGAATCCGCGCTGGCTGCCCTTAGCCGGGTTTTAACTCTTCCTTATTTTACAGATTTTTTTGGTATTCCTAAATCTTACACAAGGTTATTAAAAAAATACAAAAACATCGATTTTTTTGACCAAAGTTTGAAATTTATAGTCAGTTCTAAATAGTTTTTTCGCTTGAAATCTAATGAAGTTTCAATAAAAGGCTTTTAAAATACCCACTACTCTAGTATCCCATTTAAGCAAAGTATGAAAGCCGGCCAAGCTCCCCAATTCCAAAGAGTCTCTGCTAGCCCGCCCAGTCACAAAATACCTAATTGACAACCGTTTCAGCCTCTCGGGCCTAACGCCAGTGATGGCGTGCGTGATCGATTACGTGATGCGCCCCTTTCGCCAGCTCAACATATCAACTACAGAATTCTCCCTACTACAGGCCATCATGTTTTTCGATCCAGGTAAGAAATTCTAAAGGTTTTCTCCTAGTCTGCCTTTCATTGATACATCCGAGAAATAACTAACTTTAGACACGGAAGGCCTTGACTCGGCCTCACAGCGCAACGTGAGCGCCGAGCAGCAGAAGCTGATCGCCGCCCTGCACCGATACGTCACCCAGAATTATAATGTCGACGACGCGGCCCAGGAGCGGTTCACGAGTATTCTGTTGCGGATACCAACGATACGGGTGCGTACAGAAAATCATAACTAAAAGGAAAATATCGGGCAAAACGCAAAAGGGCATTGGGGGAATTTCGACGCTGGTTCATTAGCGGGGGGGTGGCAAACTGTTTACAATGCTCTTCTAGATCGCCTATTAAAAATACCAACATCAACAAAATCAAAATTTTGCCAAAAAATATAACTTTCTATCAGTCGAAAAAATAAAAACCTATATGGCAGGATGGAAAATAAAAATTATCCCCCGCTAACAGACCAGTGCCCAAAGGCGAAAGCATCCCGGCAAACCAGCAAAACCCCCTTAGAGCCCTTAATTTACAAAGCGAACACCGACTTTTCAGAAAGTGGCCGCCAAGAAGAACGAGTCACTGCAAATCATCGACCTTTTCAACCTGTTCACGCTCAATTCGCTGGTCAAAGAGACACACGGGATACGATCCGCCACCCCGAACACCATTCTAGAATGAGCCCCTAGCCAAGGCGTAGCTTAAATTTACGGCGAGGCCCGTCTCACCCATGTTAGTACCGTTTAGTGCGGGCTTCTCGATTTCAAAAGTCATCGGCAGGTACAGACTAAATTTCACGTTACGGTAATGTAAAAATCTAAACTAACCCAAATACGCAGTTTTATCGTCTTCTTGAAAGCGAACGTTTTAAAATTTTCTTTCTTGGCTTTAACAAAACATTTTCGGCGTGGTTATAATCCTAAAATCTAACCGTAAAGTGAAATTTACCCCTTATTTCCTCTATTCAATCATGTTCAGTGCATTCCTCCCTCCAAAAACTGACAAAAACAGGTCCCAATATCATTGTTGTTGACGTTGTGCCCACAGATTTCTACTTAACCCCTGAGTTGTATTCTACCGATTACGTCCTATGAGTCCTACAGATTCGTCGTTATCTACTATATGTTCTATGGGTTGTCTTTCAACAAAGAGATTCCAAACCGCCAGCTTTCCCCCAAAAAAACAACTTTTACGATTCTAGGTTTGAAATGGATTATTGATTCGTGGCCGTCCCTTATTGCGATGATTCCAATAGATATTCATATTGATGGCAGACATCACGTAAACATCGTTATATTGAAAAAAACGCTTTCTTCCCATGGCATAAAATTGTACCCAGGATTGATGAAAACCATGGGTCCTTTTTGAGTCTTTCGATAGAGCGTTGAATTTCGAGCACGACCCGTTGTTCTTTTACGGAATCGCGAATCTCGATTTTATAAACGAGAAAGCTTGCCCCTTGCTCGCCGCGCACTCACGGCAAGCCACCTTCAGCCCCTTTTTTAAATGATAAATCGGTCGCGAAAAATGAATGAATTGAATCTTGTAGAGAATTCAATCCTCTT